CAATAAGATTGCTGGAGCTTTTGTTGTTGTTTGTTGCTTGTCTGTTTTTGTTTTTTAAACATGGGAACTGAACTCAGGTCCTCGCGCCTACTTGGCAAGCACTTTACCAAATGAGCCATCTCTCCAGTCACCTTCTTTTTATTTTTAATTTTTGAATGTCTTATGTAGTCCAGCTTGGGGCTTGTTATATAGTTCGGGATAAACTTGGCCTCCTGACCCTCTGCCTTCGTCTCCCAATGCTGGGATTAAACAAGTGTACTCCACACTTAGTATGCACCTTTCCCTTCTCTGCTGGAGGTGGAACCCGGGGTCTCACGAACACCAGGAAAATATGCCATTGAGCTACACCCCCAGCCTTATAAATAGTGAGGCTCTTGTCATGCTCCTCATGAACTTGTCATCCTCCTACCTGAGCCTCTGGAGTTGGGATGACAAGTATGCATCACCATGTTGGGCTTTATGGTTCTCATTATGATCTTTCATTCCTTGTCTGGCCCCTTCCTGTGAACGGATCTCACATTTCCTTTATGCAACTGCTCTAAGTTCTCTTTTTAAATGGGGCCACATCCTGTCTCCACTCCTCACAGCGCAGCAAGTGCGTCTCCAAGGCTCCTGCTGTATCTCTTCTTGGGAGACGTCATTTATTATTAAAATTTAATGATAATCACTTATATTTATAGCCCCTTTTCCATTTACAAAGCTCTTTTCTATCCATTATCTCTTTTAATCCTCTCAGCATCTGTGAGGAGGAAGTGTGTTTTTCTCTACTTCATAAATGAAGAAAATAAGATTCTCGAGAGTAGCATCAGGACTGGAGGAGCTGAGGCAGGAGAATTGCTACAGTTGGAGGCCAGCCAGGGCTGCAGAGTAAAACCCTGACCCAAAGCAACAACACCAACAAAAAGCCTGGGGAGGGGAGCACACCTGCTGTAATCCTAGCATCTGTGAGGCTGAGGGGGGGGATCAGCTTGAGATCAAGACAAACGTGGGCTACTTGTCTCAATCCTCCTCTCACACGCCCCCCCCTCCCCTGAAAAGGTGGTGTCATCTTCTGAGCTGCACACATCATAGGTGGCAGAGTTTGGCCTCAAATTCTGATCTTTTAGTTCTGATGTGTCAGAGTGGCTCATGTATCCAGACATTCTTCTATTAAAAGCAAGCAACAAGCAAAAGCCCACTGATGCTGGTCAGTGCATGCCCATAATGCCAGCGCTTGGAAGGTGGAGGTAGGAGGATCAGAAGTTTGAAGTAGTCCCTGGTTACACAGTGAATTTGAGGTCAACATGGGTTACAGGACACCCCGTCTCAACAAATAACCAGATCAATATATAAGCTCTTGCTATCTCTTTTGGAGGAATGTAGATGAATTATTCAGGACTATTTAGATCAGAAACAACAAAAACATTAGAGAAGCTGGATCAAGCCAGGAGCTGAGTGAGGAGGACTCTATGGGGCCAAAGCATTAGTGTCAGAGGAGTCAGAAGGGGTGTGAACAGAACTTCACAGAGCACCTCTGCTCTACAGAGGGAAACCATGGACTGAGCCCAGCAAGTGGCCCTTTTGCTGCCCTTTTGTTCTCGACCACCTAGCTTGGCTCAGAGGGCTAGGAAAAGAGCAGTTTATGACAAAGTGGTGGCTGGAGTAAGGAGATTGTTTGGGAAACATCCAAACAGAAGTAGCCACAGCAAGACACCTGGAGATGCTATAAGACTGACCCTTCTTGTCCTCCCCTTCCTACACCTTTCCTCTCTCTAGGGAATGTGGGAACTCCACCTGTCTATTTCATGTGCCCTGTTGTCTCCAGTGGCCTGAGTTGGAGTGCCACACTTCAGGGACCTCATCCCTGCTTGTTAGATGGATGAATAAGTTCACGAGTCAGGTTGACAGCTTTCCCTCCATGGGTATGTCAGTTTTCTTCCTCGACTTCTGTCCCCCTCTGTAGAGTGGGAAGAGGTAAGGAAAGGAGATTTCTTGCCCTGGGTCTCCTGCTCATGATTCTAGGACCATAGGATACTTGACAGGTAGAAAGGAAGCCTTCCTCAAAGAGAGAGTGGAAAGAGAAATCAAATTCATGATCCATACTCTGGTCCTGGGGAAGGTGAATTCACACGGACCTGAGTTCTCAAATTGTAGAATTTCATAGATCACTCTCCCTTAACAATTTATGGTTGAAAATGCCTTTTTCTTATAGAGATGTTAAAAAGAAATATCCCTTCCCTGTCTTTTACCACCATTTCTTGAAAGTTAGAAATTTTGGTCTGGGATGAAACTCGGTTGGTAGAATGCTCTCCTAGTATGAATAAAGACCGGAGTTTGATCCCCAGCACTGCACAAACCAAGTATGTTGGTGCATGCCTATAATCTCAGCATTTGGAGATGGAAGCAAGAGGATTGCTGCAAGCTCACTCTAACATAGTGAGTTCCAGGCCAGGAAGGACTACTTAGCAAGACTCTGTCTGAACACACCTCTGAGGCAGACTTTTACAGAAAAAAAAAAAGTTTTTTTCTTTCTTTTTCCTTCCTTTCCTTTCTTTTCTTTTCTTCCTTTCTTTGTTTCTTGAGACAGGGTTTCTCTTTGTAGTCCTGGCTGTCCTAGAACTCACTTTGTAGACCAGGTTGGCCTTGGACTTGGAGATCAGACCGCCTCTGCCTCTTAAGTACTGGGATTAAAGGCCTGTGCCATCACTCCCTGGCCAAAAAAGAAAAAAAGAAAAAGAAAAAGAGGGTTTTTTGGGGGGGTTTTCGAGACAGGATTTCTCTGTGTAGCTTCGTAGCTATCCTGGCACTCGCTCTGGAGACTAGGCTGGCCTCGAACTCACAGAGATTTGCCTGCCTCTGCCTCCCGAGTGCTGGGATTAAAGGCGTGTGCCACCAACGCCTGTCGAAAAAGAATTTCTTATCCCACTGGAAAAAGACATTTTGAAAATATCATATAAGTTTTTGCATATAGATCTGAGTTTCAACAAAGGGACTCCTGAGTGTGGTCCAGTGTCAGAGATCCACTAACATGGATCATTTGCACACACACACTCTCTGTCTGTCTGTCTTCTGTGTCTCTCTGTCTCTGTCTCTCTCTTGCACACACACACACACACACACACACACACACACACACACACACACACACACCTGGAAAGTGGGCATAATTTGTCCACTTTACAGACGGGAAACAGGTTCAAAGAGCTCAAATTCAAGGTCACAATTAGTGTTAGTTTGTCTGGGTTCCAAAGGCCCAACAGAAGTGTCCTTGGGGGCTTTCTTTGGCCCAATCACCAGGCTTAACTTTGAGGATTTTTTTTTATGTTAGATCTTCATGTTGTGCAACTTCATGGCACGCATGGTTTGAGGGTGTAGAGAGGAAAAAACCAAACTTCCCCAGCCCCTTTCTCTCTTGTTTTTGGTACTCAACTTGGGTCCTGCTCCCTGGCCGGATCTCCTTGTGTTGTGGGCCAAGGAATCCCCATGGCTGGCTGGCGTGGGGTGTTAACAGTTTAGGAGTTTCCCTCTCCCAGGGGGGTGTTGACAGTTTCCTAGGAAACTCTGGAAACCTTCAACGCCTCCAAGACGCAAAGGCGTAGAAGCAGAATGGAGAGATTAGAGACATTGTCATAGGTGGTAGGTGGTAATCTGGAATCAAGAGATTGAGTTCAACGCCTATCAGATAATCCTCGTTGGGGGCCCTTCCCCCACTCCCCATCCCCGCAAGCCTTTTGGGGAGCCAGAACCCCTCAACTCAGGCTGGCGGAAAGGAGTCCCGGCAGTCAGGAGGCCTGGGGTCGGGGTGGGAGTGGGGTGTGTGGCTCTGGCTGAGGGACTTT